CAAAAACAATCCGTAGTTCCATTGTGTCACATTTAATTGATAGTGGCCATGTAGTGGAGAAAACGAGAGCTTTCAAGGCGACTATTCATCGTATCCCATCGAATCTTTCCGATAGACTTCGTATTTGCCTACCTGCTCGCACATAGCTGGGGCGATAGGCATTCGAACTATTAAACCTAGACTATGCACTCGAAAGAAGTTCGTAAAGCCATTATCCCTCCCTTATTGACCTATTAAGACATAACCAAGTGATTACTTCTCCACCACCCCTCTCTTATCATCGTTTAATCTTATCATATCTTGCATGGAGGATTTAATCATGAGCTGACATCAGTTAGAGAACCACTGGAAAACCTGGGAGTACTGGATAGCTAGTGGGAAGCCGTGACCAGTAGGGTACAGCAGGTTGAAGATGAGGCAGTAACTCATTGAAGAAGACATTGCGAAGTGGTCGCGCTATGTCGTGAATTGACAGAAGTTAGAATTCAAGGACCATTGGATCGGGTCCCAGTGGCTCAATGGTCTACGAGCTAGCTCGCCTTGTAACCAGAAGGTCCTGGGTTCGAATCCCGGTGGGTGCGTACTGATGAAGAGTCCCAAACTAGGAAGAAACAGCTATCCAGTACTCCTTGGCAGGTTTTCCAATGGTTCTCTAACTGATGTCAGCAGCTCATGATTAAATCCTCCATGCAATCAAACAAAATCCCTACAAAACCAATACTTGAAAATTATCATATCTTCATTGAAAATCAGCCTGAAACCGAGCACTTCGGTCCATTCAATCGACGGTAAAATCTCAAATTCAATTAAAATAATCAATATGACCCGTTGCAAAAGAGGTGGCCAGCTCTCGTGGCCCAAGTGGTCTAGCGGATAACGCTATGGAGTTTGAAACTATGGTCACTGGGTTCAAGCCTCGGTGGGAACATCATCATTCAATGAGAAATTCAGGTACATCCAGATGACGAGTCCCAAATAGGACGAAATGCGCATCCTGGCAAGATTCCACTGCTAGTTACCATCCACCAATTAATTACTGGGAATTGTTTTAGCTACTTTGACGACTATGCCATAGTTAAATATCATGGTGAACACTCTCCAATCACCACTGTTTAGGAGTCACTAACTTAGAACTTATTGATTTATGTTTTCTCTACAACAGTTTTATCCTGTTTGCTTTTGTTGTTGCTTTTCATGGGATATTTGAAACAATAACCCAGAATAGTTTGAATACAATTCATTGTCTTTTCATCCTTTTGTTTAAATCCATCTTATTGTGTGATTCAATAGGCTGTTGATAATTTTATATGAGGAAAAATGTTGTTACAGTGAATTCATCTTACTGTCAGGATGGTATGTCCTGTTATGTAGTTATCGTTGGAGTCATTTATGCAGTGACTAAATACAGGAAACCAATCTATGCATTCTTTGGTGTATAGCATACCACATTTCTAACGAATGATCCAAAATTATCATGCTAAAACGATACGATCTGATAGGATCTTTGACACAGTTGAATAATAATAATAATAATTTTAAATTATATCAAAGATGCAAACTTGCTTTAACAATTGTCTATCTTTTCCTTTCCAAGTGGAATATGAGGCTTCAGAACTTTTCTGTCTGTCTGTTTTCGACAGGGAACTTTGCATCGATGTGCACCAGTTCAAGTCGCTGCACTCCCTCCATGTAGCACACAAAGCAACAGAAGAAAGTACAAGAAATGCATAATAGAGACAGTAGACAGAGGTGTGAGACAAAGGAATAGTAATAACGAAGAACAATGTAGTTTCATTGGAAGTCATAAGTCACAGGGAGTGGATGCATCTGCGTTAGCCATTGAGAACGATTTTGAGCCATGTGACCAATTGTTTACAACCATTAGTTTTTACCGTCCCGAGGACCCCAACCAGTCAGGAAGTCTACACCTTCGTACGTGACTGGCTGGCTTAAACTATTTGTTGTGGATTTCATTGACTGATGAAGCCATGTTTTTGTTTGACCACCGCTAGCTCTATTCCAGCCTGACCCTATCTCAGCTAACATTGCCCATCGAGGAAGACGATCGATGGCTAGGCATACGTAACACATGTCCTAACCATCTCAGTCGATGTAATTTCACAGCCTCGTTGATGGATTTCCCCTCCTTACCTAGCACTCGACCAAAGCCTCAACTAAATATTACTGACCTTATTATTCCACTTCACACGAGAGATAGAAGGCAGGCATCTATGATCGAAGACAGCTACCTAGCCTTTTCATGTCTTCTACTCTCAATGGCCAGGTCTCACAGCCAACCATAAAGGAGGACGGCGCGGACTACTGATCAGTTGCGAGTGGTTTCGTTTTCTTTTATAAAGTTACTAGTTCCCTGCCCAATCTTACTGATTTACACGTCTTATTACCGGTTAAGGGAGGTTTAAGAGTATGTCGCTGCCTATTAACGCCTATCACACTCATAATAATAGTGGACTGGAATGTGTGTAAGACTGTGGGAAGACAGAAGACAGCAGAAGGCTCTAGAAGATCTGGACTTTACGAACGATTTATGTCTAATGTTGCCACAAAACTCGAAAGGTCTACAGACGGCAGCTTACAAGTTGGCAGAAGAGGTAGACAGAGAAGACTGGGTTTCAAGGGATTGTAAAGAAAATGCATGTTAAGAACAAACCAACCATTCTCAACAAACAACAATTACTATCAATGGGAAAGATTTGAAAGAGGTCACCTCCTTCATTTATCTAACCTGAGGACCATCGTTTCATTTAAAAGCGGAATGAATGAGAATATCAAAACTAGTCTGGATCGGAAAGGCAAGACAAACCTTCACTGTGGTCTGAAATCAGCCTAAACACCCAAATTTGGATTTTCAACACCAATGTTCAGTCGATCAGTCCTTCGATAAGGGTTAGAAACTTGACAGCAACGTCACGAAAAGCATTTCTAGCAGCTAGCTGCAGACTTTTATCGTTGACTCCGTAGTGAGGCTCAGATATGATCAAAACGTATCACCAACCAGAACCTCTATAAACAAAATAACCAAGATCTTATTACTTGACAAATATTCTGAGTTAAAAAGGAGATGGATCGCGGAACCACGTTGATGTGACCGAAGCCATCGGTTGTGTGGAACCCGTATGGGAAATGAGGAGTTGTGCATTGTATTCCAAGGTGACGTGAAGGCGATCGTGTGAGTAGAGGAGGAGGAAATGAAGACTTATGGGGGCGATTGTGGAACCAGCTAAAGGTGACTGCATACAATGTGTTGTCGAAGCCCTTGTTCCAGTCAGAACCCAAGGGAATAATAAGAGTAGAATAATAATTATAATAATAAGGAGTGTATCAGCTTGAAATCCAACCCTTACCCTGCCTGTATAGTTGGCAAAATTTCTAATACTCAGTCACCAATGCAATAAAATATGTGCACTGTGCGCTTTAAAGTGAAGTATGTGTGAACATAATTGTCAGTTAATTGAGGATCACAATAAGAATATTCTCAACAACAAGATGGGATCGAAACTCTTCTTGTTATAAAACTGAAAGGCAGAAAGAAACACATTTCCCGTAGAGAATACAGGGTCGGATAGTGTTTCTATGGTGTGTAGCAGCCGTGACGTGGGATGGTAAGAACGAATGAAAACTGGAGACAATTGGTGATATGGCTGAATGATATGTTCTCAATGGCTGGCGCAGATGCATTCACTGTTTTTGATTTATAATGTCAAATTGAAATTCTATTGTTCTTCCATATTACTGTTTATTATGTCTCTTTTAAATCTCTCTTTACTCTCTTCTCTTGGTTTGTGTGCTACATGGAGCGAGTGGGGCAACTCAGACTTCTGCTCATCTGTTCAAAGTTCTATGTTGAAACTGGTCAGTCAGTCAATCAGTCACCATTTATTGATTATGAAGTCATAAATAGTAATCGAAAGACATATCAAAGTTACCTACAGTTCACTATTATTATTATTATTATTATTATTGTTATTCCTCTTGGTTCCGAGTGGGATTGGGGGCTTCAGTAGCACATCTCCATTTCATTCCGTCTTCTGCAGTCACCTTAAACTGGCTCCACAATTGTCACGTAAGTCTTCCTTTCCTCGTCATCACATGATTGCCTCCATGTCAGCGTGGGATAAATGCACAACTCCTCGTTTCCCCTTCGGATTCTAATCAATGGCCTTCACAGTGCGCGATGTCACTCACCGATTGTCATAACGTGTATCCGCCCTATCTCCATTTCCTTCTGCATAAATCTATTGGGTAATAAGTTCTTGTTTGATTTGCTATAGACTTCCTTCTTGGCTATCCTTTCTGATTTGCAATCTGACCTCCATTATGCCGCGAAGGGGGCTACTGATGAAAATTTACAGTAGCTTGTTGGAGATGTTTATTTCTTGTTGCGTAAGCGTCTTATGCAACCATAGAGAAACAGTGACTGAATTGACAGTAGTTGTTGAAAATCCGATCCTGGTTGGCTTTCACATCTTCATCCTTGACGAGGTCGACGATGTCTTAGGATAGCAGTAGGTGGTGACTATCTGTGGAATCCAACATTCACATTTCTTCCTGCTTGGGACTCTCTAGCCTGGTAGTGGTTTTACCACTGGGAATAGAACTGAACACCGTTCATTTCAAATTTAAGAGCACTATCTATTAGACCAGAGACCGACAACTCCAGTCCAACAGAGTCAATCAAAAGTAAAAAAAATACAAATGAAGTTAAACGATAACAACCGATAGCTATTGCCCAAGAGGGTGGCTTTCGTGACCCAAATGGTCTAGTGGAAAATTTAAATCGATAGGTGCTACATTCAACTCTCGGTGAGGAAATCATTCATCACTCGCTGAGGATTGTAGGTACGCCCAGATGAAGAGTCCTAAATAGGACGAAATACTTATTTTAGATTTCATCCGCTAAATGATATTCTCTATAAATGTTTTTCAACCTGTTTACCATTTTCGTTTACTTGATAATTTCTTCCTTTTTTTTCTTATAGGCACATTCCTATGTTAGTCCGAATATGATATCCAGATTACAAAAGGGTTATTTAGTGCCAAGTCCACCTGGTCGTAGTCATATGCCAAATCGTAAGTTTTTGCTGATGTTAACCTTATTTTTACTAAAGCTTTTCTGTTATCGTAAGTTAGAAGGGTCTATATTACGCTTATATTTTGGTGCTTCTTGATAATAGTTTGCATTGTGTATTTTACAGTCTCCTTTCTAGCGGCCTGCTTATAAATGGGGCTACCTAAAGCTGCCATCTCTCTCTCTCTCTCTAGTGCATATATATTATGTCTCATTAGGTTTGTTTTAATCGATTAAGATATGACCTTTTTATGGTATTATCTACTCTTGCGTGTATTTAAAGTGTTTCTGCAACCTTCTGATTCGTAAGTTCCTACTAAACTTGAGGAAAGGACTGTCTTTGGGTGTCAACATGTTCCAATATATGAGATAACTGTTCCTCAGTTATGTTCCTGACTGACTGAATGACTGTCTTTAACACAGAACTTTGCAAAGATGTGCGGCAGTTCAAGCCGCCACACTCCCTTCATGTAGCACATAAAGCAAGAAAAGAAAGTAGAGGAAATATAAAATAGAGGCAGTAGACAGGGATATGAGACAAAAGGAATAGTAATAACGAAGAACAATATAGTTTCATTGGAAATTATAAGTCACTAGGAGTAGATGCATCTGCGCCAGATATTGAGAACGATCACTTTGAGCCGTATCACTGATTGTCTCCAGTCTTCATTGATTCTTACCATCCTGAGGACCCCAAGCAACCGGTCAGGTTGTCTACACCTCCTTACGTGGCTGGCTTAAAATAAGCGTCAAAGATTTCACTGACTGATGAGGCCATGTTTTCGGTCGATCACCACTAGTCTTCTCTTTGTCGACCTGATCCATCGTATGTCAGCTAACATTGCCCGTCGGGGAAGACAATCGACGGCTAGACATGCATAACACATGTCCTAACCATCTCAATCCACGTAACTTCACAACTTCGTCGATTGATTTCCCCTCCATACCTACAACTCGACCGAAGCCTAACCTCAATATTTCTGACCTTATTATACCACCTCACACGGGAGATAGAACGCAGGCACCTATGATCAAAGACAGCTAATCTTTTCATGTCTTCCGCTTTCAATGACCATGTCCCACAGCCAGCCATGTAGGAGGACGGAGCGAACCGCGGAGCAGTAGACACGCCTTTTGGTCAATAGCCAGCCGGATATCACTTCTCCGCCAGAGACTGTGTAAACTGGCATATGGGAAACAAGCCTTCTGTATCCATGCTGTGATCGCGTCAGCAATCAACCCACTGGCGTTGGCTGGTGCAACTTCTGAAATAAATGAAGTCGTCAATACGCACCGCCAACCACTTCACTCTTTATTTCTAAGCTAGAAGTCAATGTAGTTATGTTCCTAGGGGGACAAAGCAGATATATCTGATATGTATCCACATGATGTGTGTTTTGTTTTTGACAGTCTGCTATATTTTGCGATGTGTATATGGATCGATATTCCATTATAACTGACATTATGCTTTTGTCTGTCCACTAACTAAATAAACAATGTGCGACCTTGTTATCACATGACATTACAACCAATCATGGTAAGACGTTATTCTATTGGTTCATGTGTATTAGCCATTTTCATATATACTTTTGTACTGAATTCTTGTTCCCACGTTCGCACATTGCGTACCATTTCACTCACACACTCTTGTGTGACATTTATTTTGCTTGTGTCTGGAAAATACAAGTATCCTTGTAAACCTGGTGGTCTTCTGACTTCCCCACTTTCCACGTCAGGACTATTTAACTACTCGACGAGTACATTACAAAATCCTAATGGAATGGTTTGTGCTTGAGCTGAGAGATCATTGTGTGTCCCAGGAAGGATATTATATTGTCAATTTTAAGATTTTACTCGAAGATATTGACTTTATGAAGGGAAAATATTATGCAATAAAAACTCCTCAGAAAATTCTGTACATTTTATGAATACTGTCCAGAATAAAAAAGTTATTATTATTATTATTATTGAAACCCAGGATAAATACAGCTAGGAGTAGGTTTGATAATTTGTGGCATCGTACAGTTGGATTGTTATTTTCTTATCCTAAAATGAGGGTTGTTGTTATTGTTTATACCTGAAGAGGTTAGCTCTCTCTGTGACCGCAAATGTTTCCGTCCTATTTGCCGTGTTTTGCGGAGTAATATAGTGAGTGATACTGAGGTTAAGAATAGAGTTTTACGTAGATAAGGAGGAAAAGTCAATCGATTATATTTTGAAGCCACACATCGATTCAGGTGGCTTAGAGAGATAAGTGTTACGCGTATTCTGAGCCATCACCTTTCTCATAAAGGTGTTTTAGGGGATCTAGAATTAAGTCGGAGGTCGAGTTGGCCAAGCCAAAAGATAATATCAAATCCATGATGTCTGTCTGTGAATGTTGGTTTGAACTAGCCATATATAAAGAAGAGTAGACTATTTTAGCCGTGACCAGTGCAGGGTGCAAGAGGTTGAGGTGAAGGTGGTGAGGCAGTAACTCATCGACGAAGATATTGCGAAGTGGTAACGCCTATGTCATGAATTGGCAATATGAATATGTTTTAGACATGTGTTACTATGGTAATCTAGTGTGTGAATTTGTTGCTTCACTGCCTTGTGGATGATACTTTATGTTGTTAAGGCTTTAAACAGTAATATATTAAGACAAATATCTGCTCCGATCTCAGTAATATCACTGAGACTGATTTCGTTTCTAAAGTGACACATGTTATAGGAGTAAAACAGTTCAAATTGTCACCCTCCATATTAATACACAGAGTTAGAGAAAAATATTAAAAACCCAAAAGGAACTCTAATGAACATATACGTGTGCATGGCGAATTCAACGGGTCTGGGAGATTATAAAGGAGATTATAAAATGGAGGATTTCACCATGAGCTGACATCGGTTAGAGAACCACTGGAAAACCTGGGAGTACTGAACAGCTGTTTCGCCCCAGTTTGGGACTCTTCATCAGTACGCACCCACCGGGGTTCGAGCCGAGGACCTTCTGGTTACAAGGCGAGCTTGAGCCACTGGGACCCGATCCAATGGTCCTTGAATTCTAACTTATGCCAATTCACGATATAGCGCGACCAGTGGCTCAGTCGTCTACGAGCTCGCTAGCCTTGTAACCAGAAGTTCCTGGGTTCGAATGACGGTGGGTGCGTACTGCTGAAGAGTCCCAAGCTGGGACGAAACAGCTGTTCAGTACTCCAGTACTGGTTTTCCAGTGGTTCTCTAACCGATGTCAGCTCATGGTGAAGTCCTCCATGCAGTCAAACGAAATCCCTACAAAGACAATACTTGGAGATTATAAAACTCAGCCAGATAGTCTACATCTCCTTTTTTTGGCTCACCTTAACCAACCGTCAAAGACTCCACGGATTGATAACCTATTCAGATTAAAGTACCACTTGACTGTTTTCCAACCTGATCTTAGGATGGTTAACATATTCCTTGAAGAGGAAGGCGATGGCTCAAAATGCGTAACACTTGTCCTAGCCATCTCAATGGATTTAACTTTGTAACCTCAGCAATTGACTTGACCTCTTTGTTTAACACTCTACTCCAAAGTTGAATATCACTAAACATATTAACCACATAATGCTGGAAACAGAATGCAGACACATCCTCGGCCGTAGAGAGCCAGCCTCAGAGGAATGAAATGCTTGGATGCATGTGAGAAGTGAGAATTTATGACACAATCTACCCTTCTGTTTGTAACTACAAAAGAGTTTCAACAAAGAAATAAAAAGTACCTATTTAGACATTTAGAAAAAACAGAAAGATTGAGCGAGCGAGCGAAGAAATATTCACTTTTCAATTAGACCCTCATCTCACTCTGGCTCTACTCTAATATATTATGTATAGCAATTTCATTACAATACCCAACAGTTTACCAATCAAGTGGCGATATGTTTGTTAACAGTAATTAGTCAGTGTCAAAATGCCAGTGGGGTGATAATGAACGAAGAAAAATTAATATATATAATTAAAAGGTGGAAATGGTTAGAATAAATTAATTTTACACGGATAACACGTAATTAAAGATGAAGCGGTCAAAATAAATAAAACTAAAATAATTTAGACAATTATAATCTTTATAATTTTAAAGGTTTAGGGAAAGGCGGGGGGCGAAGTAGTCCGGTTTATACATTCATGTTACGATGATGGCCAAGGAAAATAGAGTGGCTGTACAAATTTCTTCTGAACACTCACAAGTTTGGCTTCTTCACGTGGATTCCAGTTGTTTCAGCTGTCGTATGTAGAAGACGAACTCTTAGAGCAAAATCAAGATTAGTAGGAATGCGACAAATAATTTTAAATGTGCAGTATTAACGTCAACCTTATGCTCACTATCTACAAGGTGTGCTAAAATAGAGCTGCTATGAATAGATCTTGTTTGTCCCTTGCTTCACCATGCTGCAGGATGATGTTCGGAAATACGATGATGAACCTGCCTAACTGTACGCCCAATGTAGCTGGCTCCACAGCTTCAGTCAAACTCGTAGATACACATAGACGCGGAGGCAAATCTAGGTAGTTTATCCTTATTTCTCGAATGTAGAATTGGTGGGAGTGGTTGTGAAGAGACAACGTACCTCTGGCTACATAATAATTATTTCGCTGATGTTGTCATTGAGGAACTTCAGTTTTATGAACATTAGCTTTTTCGGAACTGTTGCTATACTAACTCTCCAAGGTGCTGAATTCATATTTTTCTCAATGAACTTATATGGATAACCATTTTTTCTAAGTAATTCTCTAATAATCTTAAGCTCCTCATTGAGGCAGTCGTCTGTCTACCTTTTAAATGTGTATTGATTTTCTTCGTTAATTATCAACCCATTGACATCTTGACACTCACTAATTGTTATTAAGAAGACAGTTGCAGCGAAGAAAATTTTCTTTTCGACAAAGTCACCGTCAGCTAGACTGTACATTCTTGTATTTATATCAAATGGATAGGAAATTTCCAGAATAATTTCCGGTTAAGGGTCAAATTAATAAAAATTACAATCAGGAATTAGAATGCCATAATAAACAGGGGGACGGATAAAACAAACAAAGTAGCATCATAATAACTAAGAAGATTGACATTGTGCAATTAGAGCTTAGAAATGTAGAAATAACAAAACAGATAGGATGTTTGGATAAGAAACTTATGTGATGAATAATTGTTTATGCAATCAGGGATTAAATATGTAGAAATAATAAAATGACAAAATAAACACGAAGTTAGGGTATGAAAATATGGTAGTGTAAAGAGGGATTAAGAAAAACTTAAAATAACATGAATAAACAGAAAGTTTAGGTAAGAAAGGCAATGGGATGGTCATTACTAAAAAATTACCTGTTTATGATGGCCATGGCAGGAACAAGGGTTGGACGTATTTCTTTTGTATACAAAGCGTGGGTTTGAGCTTTTGTATAGCTAGTGCCTCGGTTATGCCCAGATGTCTTGATTTCACTCCTTTTGATAGGTTTGGTTGAATCTTGTATATTACTTTGAAGGATTTTTCGAAAAGCGCTGAATGTCCTGAATTTACCAGATGTTCTGTCACTGAACTATATACACGCTTTTGGTCTCCTTTTACTCACCAGGCTGGGTAGTGTTCACGAGCGCGTTTTTCAAGTCGGCGCCTGGTACGGCCAACGTACTCAGCTCCACAAGAGCAAGTAAACTGGTATATGTACGTTGAGGTGGCCCAATGCGACAGCTTGTCTTTCGCGTTCTGGCTGAACAGTTTGTTGCAGGAGAACGTCAGTCGTAGGCTCGCGGCGAAGTAAGTTTTCCTCAGCGATTCAGAGAGGCGTTTACGAAGGATTTCTGCTTCAATATCACCTTTGAATTTTAGATTAAGCAGAAGTATTTTCTTTGGAACGGATTGAACTTGTTCAGAAGTCTTCTTTGGTTTGAGACTTTTGTCTATAAACCTGGGCGGAAAACCGTTCTCCATCAGGGTTCTTCGGAGATTACGCAGTTCTTCGTCAATCACTTCCTCGCTGCATATCTTCCGAATCATCGAGGAAAGAGCGTATGTCAGGTTCCTCTTTCTGCTCAGGGACACAAAGCTTTGAAAGGTGATGAATTGTCTATACCATGTAGGCTTTTTTGTAAATAAACCTTTTCAGTGAGTTGTTGGCGTTCCTTTGTCAGATGGACGTCGAGGAAGTGGAACATTCCGTTGGATTCAGTCTCAAGTGTTGACTAATTGTTGTTAACAAACATATCAGTGCCACTTGATGGGTAAACTGTTATGTATTGTAATAAAAAATGTTATATACACATATTAGAGTAGAGCCAGAGTGAGATGAGGGTCTAATTGAAAAGTGAATATTTCTTCGCTCGCTCAATCTTTCTGTTTTCTAAAGACAAAAAAGCTAGATAGATTTTCAGTATAAAATGATATTAGTCGTTGCATTTCACAAGTTCTCATCAACTGCGTATCACTACTTGAAATGACAATGGTTATAGTTAATGACGCGAAATTATTATTATTATTATTGGTCCTTGGGTTCCTAGTGGAACATGGGGCTTCAACTGCACGTCTCCACTTGCCACTTCTGTCTTACTTCCTTCTGCTGTACTTTTCACCTGCATCCATGTTAGTTAGTCCATACTGTTTCAACTCCTCTTCACACGATCTCCTCCATGTCACCCTCACACCAACGTCCCACTCGCCGCGTGCTTCCCTTTCAGCCTGGATCCACTCGAGCAATGGCCTGACGCGCGCGCGATGTCACCCAGCGGCAGCCTCCTCAGCGAGCGAGTGTCCGATCCATCTCCACTTTCTCCTGCATATTTGTTGGTTGGCGATTGGTTCTTGGTTTGTTTGTTAGTGCCCATAGTTTCTTGTTGGTGATTCTTCCCGGCCCGGCCATCTGATATTCAGTATAGATCCGGCGATGACAGTTGTTCGTTGATAAAGGTCTGCAATAGGCTGTTGGGAATATTGTTTGTGACCTTCCCGCCAAGTTTCTGTCTGATCCGTATATAAGAACTGACTGACTTGACGTTTGTTTGTATTGAAAATCCTACTGAATTTTGTTGTTGATGCTGGCTGGCTGAGTGACGAAGATTTCCAGATTGGTTGGTTTCGGGTTGATGAATGTGCTTCTCGATTTGACATCCTCGTCCGTTCCGACTGGCTGTAGTTGAGACAGTGTTCCCTAGATAAGTGAGTGAATGAAGTAACCTCTTTCAAAACCCTCCCGTTGGTGGTGATTGACGCTGGATGTTACTACTGTTGTTGTTGGTGGTGGTGGTTGGTTGGTTGGTTATTTTCATAACTTCCGTCTTGTCTATGTTTGCATGGAGTCCTGTTTCCGTCGGCTGCTTTTTCGACCAGTTTGTCGGTTTTCGCTTGTAAGTCTTCGATTTTGTGTGACATCAAACATAGATCATCCACGCGCGAAATCCAGGTCTTCTAGGTTCTTCACGTCGGTCGGTCCAGGATATCTATCCCTGTCCCGTTTCTCGTTTCCTACTCACTGTCTTACGCATAATCAGTCCATCACAATTAGGAGTATCATTCATTGGTGATAATTAGCAAGTACCCTTGTCTGACTCCTGTGTTTATTCCAAACGCGAAATAGCATACTTCAATGTTTGAATAGTATTAGAGGAATTATTATCAAAAAATAACTCATCCGAAATATAAATATGTATGCATTACAGTTTTCAGTTTAAATTACCATCATTTTATTATATGCTTTTTAAAATAGAAAAAAAATGGAAGCGGGAGCAGGAGAAGACAGAAAAATAGAGAAAATTCAATCAACGTTGCTTCCTTTTAGGTTTTTGTTGACATAGCAACTCAAGCGGGTTATAGTTCATTTAAAATTGGAATCTTTGTTCAGTCAGCTGAAATCAATAATATGGAAAAGAATAAAAAGAATGAAATCAATAAAAATGTAATTACCAAGGGATTGATTGGAAGACTAATTACACTCACTGTCTTTCTCTATGCAAAAAAAAATAAGTTTGGTGTGAAGCATTCAACTGCAGTGGCTTCAACAAATCGTAGTCATTTTGCTGTCCTTTGTATGTTTAATATTTTGAAGGATTTAGAAATCTCGAAAATAATAACCTGAGGTATCCACAAAGTTTCTGGTAATTGCACTTTACGAATATCTACTTCCTTTTGGGTATAAGTATCTTGGGATATGCTCAGGCAGTCAGATAGATTATTGGATTTTGCGGTTTTCTGTTTTCCCCTCTCTCACCCCATCGTTTTTGAAAGCATATAAATTAATGGTAACTTAAACTAAAGGGAATTGTAATGCTTATGTATATTTCGGATGCGTTAGTTTTTGATAATGTTTTCTTTGCTACTATTCAAAAATTGAGGTAATTTGCAGCTGATGAGAACCTATGAAATAGAATGACCAATATCATTTTATACTGCAGATCTAGTCTTCTATTCATTTCAGTTCAGATTTTCCCGCCGAAGTGTTCGGTCTCAGGCTGACATGTCGGCCCCTTCTGCAAATTCTGTGCAGGCGACGTCTAGTGATGTAACTTGGAGTCAACTGGTAGATGGTGACTTGCAGTGGAATCCAGGATAACGCGAAATTCGTCCCATTTGGGACTCGTCCAAGCTGGATGTACCTGCGTTCAAGTTATACGACCAGACATCGTTAAATCATCTGCACAAGAAGACGACATGTCAACCTGACAGGGAGCATTTCGGTCCAATTAGTCGACGGAAAATTCTAAATTGAATTAAACGATAATTACTAAAACTCGTTGCACAATAGGTGGCTCTCCTTATTTATTTTATATTTATTTAAACGCAGAAAAAACTTGGTACAATATGGCACCAAGAAGGATGCGCCACACAATAATAATAAAACATATATAAGTAGAGAACGGATAAAGAACTTCATCTGGAAGGAAAACAATCATGCTTAACAAGTTCAAACAGTATTCGTTAACTATCATCGGGAAGGGAAGAAAGAAGGAAACTGCAACACGTTCGCCATTGATTACGATTCTTGGCCATATCCGATAGCGTTTCGAGCCATCGATTCGAGCTATCTCGCGGCCCCCAACTAGGGAGTCGTGACGCACTAACCGATGCTAATCTAGCACAAAAATTCTTCATCCCACGACGCCACGTCATGCACTGACTACCTCTCCGCCTTTTCCATCCCGTCCCAGGGCTGGCTAGTGAACAGAGACATGTACGGAAGCCTGTGGGATGACATTCGCAGCACACGTCGAAGACACCGGAGCCGGTGTTTCCAGATGACGTCACTCAATGAATGGTGATCTCCACTGTGTTTAAACACACACCGCCGAACCTCAGAATTACTCACGCGATGATACTATCCATCGAACGCAAGCAATCCTGCGGAGACAGCGATTATCGAACACGCAGAGTCGCCGCACATCCTCAGCTCGAAGAGGTGGCTCTCGAGGCCCAGGTTGTCTAGTCGACAATGCTTTGGCGTTTAAAACTTCCGGTACTGGGTTTGAGCCTTGGTGGGAACACCATCACTGACTCACTGGGGAATGCAGATCCGTTCAGATGACGAGTCCCGAATGGGACGAAATGCACATTATCTTGGATTACACCTGGTAGTCACTATCCACCAGTTGACTTTAAATTCGGTTTCTTTATTGCTTCAATGATATAAATTCATGTTGAAGAGGATTCAACCAACCAATCATTCATTCATTCATTGAAATTTTCCACTTGAGACAAAAACAAGCCTTTCTATTTAATCTGTTACGTAATTGTATTTCATTATTGAAATTGACTGTTTCGATCTTGTGTTTTTCTTCTTATTCTTCATGTTGTTTTTTTGTTTACTTGACTTGATTTGGCTTGACAATAACATATGAACAATTTTTTTGTTTTCGGTTGACGTAAATGTGTAACACTGATCAATTTTTTTATTTTTTGTTTTTGCATTTTGGCCTACTTCATTCAGAATTATCACCATTTTCTATTCCATCAACATTTCGTCTTAACAATTCAAAAAAACCAATGTAAGTTTTGCATTAGTTGTTGTTTTCGTTGGTTTCGCTAGTTTTTTTTCGTGATGATTACAAGTGTTTACAAATTATTAGATGAAGAATATATTTAAATTTGAATTTTTGATTGAACACTACTAGTCAAGTCAGCATAATAACTATAGTGTGATATGTGTGTCTAGTCCTTTGGTGTTTGGTTTGGTGTAGACTGACTGAATTCTATCAGTCAGTCAAGTTTGTAATGTGGCTACCCCATCATTCTAGTCAATTCGCCATCATGGTGCACACATTAAATTGTTGATATTAGGTTAGTTGTAGGCAATCGGTCACAGGAAGCCTTACTTGAGCATAGGTTTCGTGCTATTTGGCACACTCCACCAGTCGACTTGCTTAAAAGAAGCAATTTCGTTTTCTGAGATTCGAATCCGCGTCACCCATTGTGCTGTCTGCAGTCAGAGACATTACCACTGAGCAGTTATTCGGACTCGTGATTGACCTCCTGTAGGACTGACTGTATTGGATATTTTGATTAGGTTACTAGCCAGTAACTAGTGTGATGTGTCTAGTTCTTTCTTTCTTTGGTACAGGCTTGAAGGTTGCAGATACGCCCTTCTGACTGGTGAGTGCCAACTAGCACAAAACCTAAGTCAGACAAGGCTTCCTGCGACCGATTGCCTCCAATCATCTAATATATATTTGGATTTGTTACAGGATTTCACATCATGAGCTGACATTAGTTAGAGAACCTGTTGTAAAACCAACTGCGAGGACTGAACAGCTGTTTTGTCCGCCTAGTTTGGCACTCGTTATCAGTACGCACCCACCGACAGGGTTCGAACCTAGGACCTTCGGGTTACAAGGCGGGCTCGTAGACCATTGAGCCACTGGGACCCCTGATCCAATGGCCAGCCAGTCCATGAATTCTAACTTATGCCAATTCACGATATAGCGCAACCGCTAACCAATGTCTTCGGAGCGCCCTATTTTGTTATATCTGCGCCTGCTAGTTGTTTTAATGGTAATGAACTCGACTGGCACGTTAATATGCCTATTTGTCCGTTGTGTAGCTTCCGATTCACTGAGCCATGCAAATGTCAAAGACAAAGACTGGTCTGTGACTATAAGATGATGTATTCTATTGCATTTTACTATACATCTCTATTACAAAACATCATATTTATAGATTTAATTTATCACAACAATACAGTTGACTCACAACCGTGGGAAATGTCTATTTTGATTGGTTGATGATCCGAAAAAGACGATAAATTAATCACAAGATAAATCACACGAATCGTGAGAAAGGATGATGATGATGATGAAGTATTTTATGCCTTGTATCCTATCACAAACTCACAATCTAAATATCAATCTTCAACTCTGTGATGTGCCTTCTAGATGGGGATGGATGTCGTGTAAAGCTCTCTTTGAGAAGTTGTGGGAACCATTGACTGTGTCAAGGCTCTGAAGTGATTGATGGTATAGCCGTTTAACACGGAGCGACAAAAGTTAGAATTCTCGAGTTTATTGAACTCCCTCCTTAATTGGCTGATTGGTTGAGGACCTTGGTCCCGTAGCCTGAAAGTCTCCTGTTTGATTTCTGCGGTTGGGATCATGGTTACACTGACTACTACTGTAGAGACGCCTAAACTAGAGGAACCAAATAGCTGTATATCTATTCTCCCTAGTTCTTAATGGTACTCTAACTGACGCGCTGGTTCATGACGAAAAAAATACCCTGATATCAATGAATTGTTGTATTCTCTGATTTTTTCTTATATATATATGAGGTTTAAAAATGAATCAAACTGTCGGTGTAGATTTTTGTCATGGACTATAATCAGTCAAAAAAAAATCCTTTAAAAAATGAAGGAGTCACTAAACAGCACTCCTTCAGTTCCTTCAGTTTACAGAATACCAGAAGGGTGTTTTGGATAGCGGCTAGACTAACACCATTTACGCGTATATAATCTAAGCTATTTACACTATGTTAGGGATGTGAACAAAGATGTAACAACAGTAAGAGGATTCCTTTGGACTACCTGGAAGGTAGTTATTCTGCCTCTCTCCACTATGGAACGAGGATGGGTTGCAAGTTATAAAAAGAAAGACTTCGAAAATTGTACTTCTGGACTTACCTTGTAGCAGTCTGTAGTCGGTGATACGATTTTAACAGAGATGCCAGTGTCAAACAAGCTGTATGTGACCTATGTCAACTAGTTTTCCCTTCACTTCTACGCTCATACAACCTTAATGCTCCTTCAAGATTTACAACGCATTAATATCAGTTAGAGTACCATTGGAAATTAGACCTGAAGTCATCGGTAGATGTTTTTTTTTCTCTAGTGTGGTACTCATCATCAGTACTCACCCGCTGGGTTTCGAACTCACGACCTTTTGGTTAACAGACACGAGCTTGTAGATCATTATTCAACTACTGGGACACCATTAAAAAAGGCCCATGAATCCCAGCATCTACGCATTCGTCATACGTCATCACGACAACTAAACAACGTCACTGGCACGTAATTCTCCTCCAACCCCACTGGTCATGCTAATAATTGCTTTATTTCAAACAGTATTTTGGTACAAAAATGTGGAATTTTTAGTATATAGTTCAGTATTATATCTAGCGTTCTCATTACAATAAGGATAATGACACTGAGTGGATATATTAACAACAATACAATAATAAAAGGAAAACTGAGGCCATTTACTAAGAGTTCCGCGTAGTAAGTTGGAAATGTCCTGGTCTTGAACTCTTTTCAAAACATCAAAAATATATGCTGAATAAGTCATGGTAGAGTTTCCACACTTAGTCGTCTCACCGTATAGTCCACTACAGTTGATTCTATTCCTACTTGATGTAAAAAACAGGAGACAGTTGTATGTAGTGCGAATTTTCAGGATCCGATCAGATAATATTCACTAATTTCATGCCCGAGTCCATCTGTCCACCGACAACAATACTAACGGTTGTTTTAGCACACAACCCAGTCATCCTACTGATAACCTCTACTGGGCTTCACAGTAAAAAGAAGTCTTTCTCGAGTAGTCCGGAAAGGATTAAGGGGATGGGGGGTGGAGACACTAAAGAAGGATAGGAAGAATACAAGAATTTACAAACTCGAAAACATTAGACTGAGTGACAGACATCACATTGTCTCAACTTCCTAAAGTACAACGCTAAACGAAATATCTCTCTAGAAATGACATGATGTGAAGGGAAGACCAGGAAGGGTGATCAGAGGAAGTGCACACTCCAATGTATGTAACATTCCATTTAAGTTCAACTTCACTGCCATCTATGACAGTGGAACTATGTGAACCAACCACTCCATGTACGTCACCCTTGCGTGTCTGAAAGTGGAATTATCAACCTGACTAACATTTGTAGGAATTTAGCTTCAGACCATTTTGAAAAAGACCAATGACTGATTTCCACTAAATCATCATTCTTTTCGGAACTATCTAGCTGAGAAGTAACCGCCAGCATAGAAACAGTCAGATCATCGGAAGAAAGATATGAGAAATAAAGGAAGAGCAGCACCTTAATTTAGGTACACCAGATAGACTAAGTGAACCAATAGAGGACTTGCCATTGTAAACAGTGTACTGCTCTCTCTCTCTATCTATCAGAAAAGTAAAAATGTAATCACTTATTAATTCATCAATCTGTTCATTTCGTCGGAAGCTTGTTGAACAAAACACGTCCAAGTATGCAGTCAAAGGGAGATGTGTTGCATCCAAGGAAGCCAGATGAAACATACTTCACACCTCTGTCTAAATTAAAGGCAATATTATATGACAGTGCAGTAACATCAAAATCACACCTGTTATGTTTGGAAGAAAATTGTTTAGAGTCGTTGAAAGCTTTCATTGAAGATTTAAGGTTAAGTAAAAACAGTTTTAGTATTATAATATTTAAAAATTCGTAAGGCATTGACGTTTCGTCTAAACCTGATAAGTTTGATCATGGATTGATGGTTCTCTAACTGATATCTAACTCAAAACAGTCAAAATCTCTAATCTCACGGTCACTATTGACTAGATGCAGAACGAAGTTTCTAAGCTTTTTGCTAACGAGTGCGTCCCTCCCCGTGATAGAGGAAGTGAGGATATAAATACTCGCAGCTGATGACACTGGCTGCTGCTGCTGCTAGTTGCGCTAAAATCACAAACAGGTAAAAAAGTTGGAATTCATCGTCTGGTCATCGACTGCTTCTTCTTTCTGATGTTGAAGAAGAAATCATGGAAAATACCCATTGGAACATTAGAAAGAAAAGAACACGAAGTTCAGCAAAGATGGAGATCTTTTCAGCGATTTCATTCTCAAAACCAGCTGTACAATCCCATTTATGTAGATTATTTTACATGGATACAATTATTATTTGTAACGAAGGAGATAATAATTTTCAACTTGATATGAAAGTTTGAAGGTAGGAATATATAGATTACAAGGGGCTTAGAGACAAGATTTCATAGGATTAGAAAATAGTTATAACGTATGAAAAGTTAATATTTGATAACTGGAGAAATAATTTTAAAGGGGAATAAAAGGTGATAATTGTTTTCAACTTGATATGAATTACAAGAGGCTTAGAGCCACTGTGCGTCGGTGGCACAGTGGTTAGGACTCTCGACGACCATGCACATGGTCCGGAGTTCGAGCCCACACCGGCGCACACTAGATATCTATGGTCGGCCTGCGAATTTTGGGCTACCGATATCCACGCTGAAAATTCCATACTTGTACCAAAAATACAGTGTGGAATCAAGCTGTTACCAAAAATAAAACAAATGTTACGCAGGGATAGAACCAATTACAGGTGTGAACAAAATGAGCATGGAAACAAATCGGAACCAAAATTTTCAACTTGAAATAAAAGTTAGGAGGTGTGAATACAGACAGATTACAAGAGGCATAGAAACAAAAATGTTACATAGGATCAGGATATAATTGTAAAATGGTTATTCTAAATAGATTACAAGTGTGATCAGGAGGAGCATGGAAA